TAATTAAAAATAACAATCAGTAAAATAAATAGCAAATAGAGATTTAATTATTAATATTGCATTGTTTACCAACCGTCTGTCCGTCCACCCCAGTAATAAAATTTATTAATTGCCCCTGCATTCAGTGTAATGCAAATATTTATTTTAACATTACACAAGACCCCTTGTATTTGATTTTCGTATATCACATATACGTCATTCACGCCGATTTTATTGGTTCCGGACTTAACAGTTTCTATTAATATTTATGTACAGTGTATACATAACTATAATAAAAAAGGTTATCGATAATTTCATCTGATTTATTTTAAAATTAAATTAATCAACGTTAATAAATTTAAAACAAACTTAAGAAAATCGATTTTGAAAATTTCTATATATGACCGTTAAAATCCAAATTGTTTAAACAAAATTTATAAAGAATTTAAAAAAACCGACTTATTATTAAACATCCCTTATTGTGAATGAGCGTACAATTATTCAACGCATGACTGATAGTGAAGTCGGTGAAAAGAATGTAATCAACAATACATTTAATTGTAGTTGACTATTCTTTATTTAAAATGCCTATTAAACAGACAGATTATGATGAATTATAATTAGATAAGTGTACTTATGATAATCATGTCAGTAAATCCCGGAAAATCATCGGCCTCCGCATCATTATGGAAAATACTTCGCCGATATTAAGTAGATCATTGGAGTTTGCCCGAACATTATTTAATATAACAGCATGGCATGATGTACGTGTATTTCAATGCTTAGACCCTTTTATATATAGATGTTCGTACATATAGTAAATGCATGCGAATTTGAATTTGGTTGGGTGTTCTTGTCACATGAAGCTAGAAAGTTACTTTTAATTGCATTTGGCATGTGTAATCAACATGGAAGATTGTAAATCAAGAATGTTAAATGTGTTCGCGTAATTTTTTATAGAAATCAACGATCTATCATACACAAAAATTATAAATCTTCCAGAAAATCAATGATCAAGGCAACCGCGTTGATCAGTGTCGGAAATACCATTTTTTTGTTGCGAATTTAGCAACCGTAATTTTGTGGGGTTTCCCTCTGCATTTTTTCTTTCATCTGAAGAAAAGAGCGCGCTGAACCTGAGCGTAGGAAAGAGTCGTCAGATAAAAAGTCACTCTTCATTCGATTCTCGTCAAGTGGTAGATATTAAAGGTATCATATATCAATTGTTGTAAAGTAAATCCTTTAATTCGACTCGCCCTTGAAGAATGTGGCTTAAGCTGAATAATAAAAGGTTTAAAAAGAAGGTATAGGAAATTCCTCGTTTAACAATTTTCTTTCACTCCACATCTTACGTACATTTCTTGAAATTAGCTTGACCGAATTTCCTATTCACGGACCACTGTCCTCTTTCTGGTGACGCTGATAATTCAATTGGGGCTCGTCGAGTTCTTTCAATTAAAACTTGATGCTCGAGATGCCGAGGTCATTAGTCGCCTGAAATTTTATAATGGGTCACACTCTAATTGTGCCGAGAAATATTTCAACGTAGATGGTTTCTCAATGTTATCGAAAGAGATATTCCTTTTTATCTATTTTCAGATATTTATACTTTGGTTAGGTTATAATGCGGTGAGTTTGTTTTTTTTCTTTATGGTTCTTTCTCTCGCCCTATGTTCTGAAGAGAAAATTCCTTTTTTGGAAATGGAAGATCTCCAACCACCACACGGATCAGGCCAAAGTTGTTGCATCCTTGAACGCTTCTGGTGCTTTTTACGGATTTGTAAGTATCACAAATTCATCATATTATTCTCACGGCATTACAACTCACTTGAATATGTTTTTCATCAATCGAGGTCCGAGTAATCGAGGTCAAACCAATAATTGATCGATATAATGCAAATTGCGGTCAATATGGAAAACTTGATGCTGACTATCTATCCAATGATGTTCCCAATATCGTCGTGACATTAATACTGGCCTGTTGGTTGGGATATTTAACAAAATTGTTGAGTAATGAGTTGGGTGGAAGGATTTATCAGAAAATTGGATCCGACAAAAGAATGCGAGGTATTAAATATGTCTATCACATGTCGAAAAATACGAAGATAATATTAATGTATTTTTTTTTTCTTTTTCAGAAATGTTTAAAACCAGATTAACGCTTATTATGTTATTGAAAATCAACATGTTCTATCTCGGATTTATGTTAATTCTCGTGTTTATATTGTTTCCAACCTTCTTTGCAATTTCCCATATGCTTGTTACCTTGGTCGCCCTCGGAATGGTTTATTTTGTTTACCGCGCGGTAATTATGATGCTTTCCCTATCACGTGTTCTACAAATATGCTTATTTTTGTATTCGTTATTTTAGATTCCGAAAGAAAATGTGAAAACTATGCGATACTTTATCATGGCCTGGACATGTGTTATAATTGATTGGATCGCGATATGGATTTTATCTCTTTCCTTCGCCACTTCTGGATCTTACTTCATACTATTCTTTGGTGGGTTTTTTTCGTATCTCGTTTATGTAAAGATACAAAATAGTTTTTAACTATTCGTTCTCTCGATAAATAGCTTCTCAATATATCTTCTACGGAATCGTGAGTATTTGAGAACTTTTTTTCTTGGTTAAATTTTTATCATCCGCTAAATTACCAAATACACATCATTCTTTAACATTAGATGACCATTTTGTATGCAATCAGAGTGATAAAAACTTTTGACAAAGGAATGAAAGAATACGGTAAATTCTGTACAATTTATTTCATGAGTTGCAACAAGGATTTCCAGTATGTTTGTCTCATTTTTTATTTTATTTTTTTTCGAAATGCAGCCGGCCAAGAGATCCAAAATCGCAAGCTGGAATCGTTCGTGCCGATTATAAGGGTCGTCGATTATGGTGTAACAAATTTGGAAATACCTCCTCCTGTTGTTATAAAATCATGATCTGTTACCTTATTTGATTCCTCGCTAAAGTCACGTGATACATTGTTTTGCATAATTCCATTTTCATATAATACAGTATACCATATTAATAACGATAATATAATTCATTCATGCTTTACACTATAAAGATATTCAAGAACTTGATGTGTTCTATTCTCCGGATCTTGGCTCTAGCCTTGATCACGGATGAAGAAGAGTGAATAAATATTTTATTGGGTGCGAGTTCAAAGTGTAGCGTCGTCCTTGTATCCTATCACTGTGAAAAAATTATTTTTTACCTTTACGATTCCCTTAAACAGGCATTCCGTTGGAAAGACGCCATTTATAGTCACATTACTGTGACCCTAATTTCATCAGACTCCAATAAAAAGGCATTTTTTTTTTGTGTTTCTCAAAATATTTGGGTCATCATTTCTCCTAATTCTAAATCGTACGATCCCTTGCAATTCACGAAATGTGGTGTAAATTGTATAAAAGGAAACCCGAAGAGACTGATATTTTTTTTTTTTTACTGGTGCTCGATTTTTGACATGTGTACCTTACGTGTATAAGGTTGTGCGTTTCACGTTACGTGAGGCTTTTTTTGTGCTTAATCGTTCCAATATATAGTGGCATTCAAACACCCAATTTTTTATTGCAAAAATAATTTAATTACACCTACTTCTTACATTCTTTTACTCATATACGTATGCATTCTCACACAGGATCGATTATCGCGTGAATAACAGAATCTTTTTTTTTAAAAAAAAAAAAACTGGTGAATAAACGATCTCAAAAAGAACAACAAATTGTAGCAAGCTCAAAAAATTATGGGAAAACAACAATCAAAATTAGCCCGAAGTCAAACTGATAGCGCCCCGACAATCACCTCCGGAGGCTCAATTTCATCTTGTTCCGCATGTTCTTCAACCACCTCAGTATCATCGCGAAGTACCACTAACAATGAAGGAAACATAGATTCAATAATCAACTATCCTTTATCTGAATCTTTACCTGACCGGAAATTTGAAACCTCACGAAGGAAAATTTCAAAAAAATGCAACCACAAAATCTCCAAAAATCATTACCATGCTTCTGATCCCTCGAACACTTTGAGTCCGGATATCTTACAAGTTCAAAGAACACAGAACCAGGTGGCCCCGATTTTGCCCGCTACCGATTTTAATATCAACGCTTACATAAACAACCGAAAATACTCCAAAAAAAATTCTAATCACCTTTACCCGATAGATGATCGTGAGGTAAGCTTACAAGTTGGCTCACGGTGTTCCTCGTTTTCTTGATTTTCAACACGATCCCTGACATTTTACTAGTGTGACAGATTGCAATACCAGTTTTATATATATAAACACGTGTGGGGAAATAATTTCTCGGCACCAGTACACGAGATACTATCGCAAGAGAACAGTAAAGTGCTTGACGTTGGGTATGTACTTTCTTTCTTTCTTTCTTTCTTTTCTTCTCGCTAAAATTACAAAACTCATCTTCCATGCATTTCAACTTTTCAGATGTGGTCCTGGATACTGGACTCTTGAAACTTCGGTAGAGTATCCTAACGCTCGTTTCACCGGTATTGATATCGTAGAAACCTTCCCCTCTCTCGTAAAACCACAGAACGTCGAGTTCCATCAAGCAAACATCCTCAAAGGTCTCCCGTTCCCCGACAACACCTTCGACTTTGTAATGATTCGGCTGATGATTTTTGCTTTTACCATTGATGAATGGGAGAAAGCTGTAAGAGAGGCTGTCAGAGTTTGCAAGGTTGGAGGATGGGTGGAGATGATGGAGAAGGACATATTGTTCTTTGGTGCGGGAAATATTGCTAGTGAGGCTCAGAAATGGGGTAGGTTCTTTTTTTTTCGGCATTAATCAGCACGTCTCATGGGAACGATGCCTTACCAAATCTTTCATTTCTCACGTCAGTCGTAAGCGAGTTACGAAAGAAAAAGAAAATCGAAGTGGTCATATCGCCACATCTACCACGTTACCTTTCCATGACAAGAAATATTACCAACATACATCATGCTGAAAGGAATGTACCCTTCGGCGAGCATGCGGGTAATTTGGGAAAGAGTTATTCGGAGATATACGCCTGGGGTGCAAAGAATTTGAAGAAGGTGGTTGGTGGGTACCGCGGTGACATTGGTGGTGACAGGGATATCGGTAATACACTCGGTGAGACTAGGGACAATAGTCGGAAAAGCAAGAAAAGACTGTTTTTTGGTGGTAGTGACAAAGAATGGGATGAAGTGGTAGATCGATGTATTGAGGAATTAAGTATTTATGGTGCATACGACAAGATTCATAGAGTTTGGGGTATGAAAATTGATCAGAGCATGGGCGGTAGTTCCACAGGGCCAAACTCTGTTAGTAGAAGTGTTAAAGATGGAGAGGCGATCGGTGTGATCAATGGAATTAATGTGATCGAGGTTCTGTAGACCAAATCACAAGGACTTTCAATCAGTCGCGCTAGTAATAACTCGCACGTAATATCACAAAATGTATATATTTTATTATTGTAGGCGCATATGTATGACATTACTTTTTGTGTCAAATAAATGAAAAATTATCTAACTTCGCGGCGACAGGAAAATTATTGTGTAATCAGAGTTCATTCATGAATGAACACTCGAATTCCAAAAAAGATGCGATGAATTTCTTCATTCTCATTACTTAATTTTATTTATTTGTCATTTACTTATTTGACTTTTTTCCAGATGTCGTTTTAATCTTTCTTTTCTTCACAGCCTTGGGGATTTTATGCGTTCTCTTTTCTTTCGCCTCTTCTTTGGTCAACTTCTTTCGTGCCTACAAACAGAAAATACCTGAGGAATATTGAAAGTGCAATGTCCATGTTTTTTTTTGAAGTTACAAACCTTTTTCGCGTCCTTATCTTCATTCCTCTTCCCCCGCAATTGTTTCTTAAACAACTGTTCGTCTTTTTCTTCGTCAGAATCCTCGTCCTGACTATCTTCTGAATCGATTTCGTTTGATTCTTGTGAAATAGTTTCATCTCTACCTTTTTCATCGTTGACTTTATCGGCGGTTATTATTGGAGGAACGCGTGTGACTTCCTCCTCATCTAACTTTTTATCTTCAATAGTTATACCCGTGATCTTTCGATAAATCAGCTAACGATGTATTTTTAAGAACTTGTTAATAAAAGACCTTTTTCATGCTCACGAGACCATAGGAGTTCAAAGGTTAAAAAATTATGATACTTGCATTTTCACCTTCCCCTTGAGTCAATCTTATCACATCCCTTTCAGCGTCAATAACATCATCTAACGTCCTTGGGATGTAAGATCGTTTAAAAACCTCTTCATCAACCTTTTCCTTTTGCAATTGTTCATCAGTTAACGGCTCGGATAACGACTGCGAAGCCAGACGTTCTTGAATCTGTCAACCATATTCCTTTCGTAAGAATGATCTTATCCACAAATAGTAACTAAACGACACGATATCCACCTTATCCAATTCCGATTCAACCATGTCATCTTCCATACCAATATTAATGTCTGTAATGAAGTCAAATAACTCTCTGACACTCATCACTCTCACTCCTTTTTTCCTAAAATATTCGGTAACGTTTGTACAATCTTTCCTTAAAAATTCAAGAGCGTGAGGATGATCGTGTTCTACTGATTGTGATACATCAATTATATATAAAGTACGCGCGTTATATCTGTAGAATGTTAATTCCTTCAAGTTGCAATGACCAATAAGAATATGCATATGTCGCGACGACTCACAAAAGATTGTACTCGCTCAGATCCGCATGAACAAGACGACAAGTGTGATACATCGTTCTCATGTTCTTGACAAGATGGTAATACAATTCAGGATACTTTTCGGAACCAATAATGGCGTCCTTTAACCGAGGATATGCCCTACCAATATATTTGTGATTAGAAGAAAAAAATGATGTTTTAAAATTTGATGTTCATAAAATCATACCATCCATTTTTATCCCCCAAAAAACCCATAACCAACACATGTAACCTCAATACAAGAGGCTCGGGGCAAGGAATTCCCGCCTGCCACAATCTCTTTAAGTTTCTCATCTCTTTCTCAGCCCACAGTTTTACCATTTTACGTGGATTATGCTTACTGTATCCACGTCTGAATCGAAATTCCCCTGTGACATAGCGATCGCGATCCTTGAATACCAGGATCGAAGTTTTATAAACCTTTATAGCCCTATGGTTCCCGTCCTCCGTAAGTGCATGATATACGTTGGCCTATTGATGTAAGAGTTTTTAAGTAATAATGACTCATGAAATTCTCCATTGGGTGAATTTGTTGATTACCTCTTTCCCAGTGCTAATGCACCCGTTTATTTCATAAATAACATTACGATTGATCATTTTAAAAAGAATGATCCTTGTGCGTGGGTCTAATACTTGTTCGGTAGTTGCACGGTCGGACTTATCACTATGTTTGTTCCTAGAAATTTCAAAATATCTTGTGAAGAAACTACTTTCTATACATAAAGCTGAAAAGAAAGGACGAATACTCACTTTTCACCCTGAGCCTTTTTGCTGCTCTTCTTAATGTCATTTGAAACGGAAATTGATAATCCATCAGTAGGTAGGTCATCTACTTGTGTATAAGCATTGATGAGCGAATGATTATAAATACCTACTTAATATCGAAACCCAAACTAAATGGTCGTTACCAATATGAATCCTGCTAGCATATTTACTCAAGGTTTTCATCTGATCTTCCATTTCTTTTTTTCTTCTGACATCCGAAGATCCACCCGACGATTGCGGCCCGCCTGTCCTCGCCGGTGACGTTATACTCCTTTGACCAACGTTCGCAACCGTAGAAACACCAGATAAATTAGGTTGTAATTGTTGTCTTAGCCGATTGTAATGTTTAGTAAAATCTAATAATACCATTGATCAAAAAGTGTACTCAAGATCAACACAGTTTAAAAGTCAAATTACCTCCGCTGGCATTATCCCATTCTTCGTTATCATTCAATTCATCCTCAAAATAATCCTCAAAATCTTCCTCCACTTCTTCATAGAAATCGATATTTTCATCCGAATTTGCAGAAGTTACTCCGTTCTCATCCAATCCGAATTCTTGCCCATAATTCGACCGATCGCCTTGCTCATAATCCTTATCCGCCGGAGAATCATCAAATTGTCCCACCTCATACTTTGGAATATATTGGGTAGAGGTTATGCCGGCCATGCTGGAGCAATTTTATTACGAACCAAGAAGTGAATGATGCATTTTCCCTTCAAATAATAATTATTAATCACGTGCAGATCATTGTCACATGGGAAATTAAAAAATTTTTCATTCCGCCTCCACTGCGCCACACTCTTGATTACTTGATTAATAATACTTTTGTATTAAATAAATATACAGTCTGGAACAAAAAAACCGCCTAAGAATAAAAATAAATAAATAATTTTTTTAAATATATAAAAATATTATTATTAAAAATTAAATTTTTTGATTTTTCTATTATTTACAAAAAAAAATTTTTTCTTTTAACTTAATATTAAATCATCTATTTTTGATATTAATTTATTAGATAATATTTTAATGATAAATATATTTTAGTAATTTTTTTTAATAATAAATTTATAAATTTATAGAATTTTTTATAATTAAAAATATAATTTTTATATTATTTTTTATAATTAAAAATATAATTTTTATATTATTTTTTATATTTTAGCTTTGATAAAAATTGGTTTTATCTTTTTAATATACTGTATATGTTTTTTGATTTTCATTACATAATAATTTTTCATAAAATTATTATTAAATTATTAATAAAATAATAATCTTTTTTATAATATAATAATAATATTTTTTTATTATTAAAAGTTTTTTTGTTAAATTTTATCAAAAAGTAAATAACTTAATATCAAGCTAAAAAAAAAAATATTTTAAAGTTTTATTAATCTATAATTAATTTTTTTATATATTGAAATAATTTAAATTATTATTTTTTTATAAATAATAGAAAAATTTTAATTTTAATTTGTTATCTCTTTTTAATTAAAATTTAATATTATTTTTATATATTTAAACAATTATTATTATTATTTTATTTTAACAAACTTTTACTAATATCAATATTTATATATATTCATACATTACTATTAGAGATTACAGTTTTTATCTGAATCTGAATAATCTGCAAATTGAATATGAATCAAATTTTAAATTTTTAAATCTGCTCGAATACGAATCAAATTCAAATTAGAATTACAGTAGTCACAGAAACATCAGGAAATTTTTTTGGTAAAGATCTTCAGAGATATCCATCCAAAAAAATTTTTGAAAATTTCCAGAAAAATCTTCGAAAATCTTCAAAGGTTTATAAGAATTTTTAATATAGAATTTTTTAAAATAAAAAAACTCTGAAAATTTTTATTTCAAAAAAATTTAAAATTCTTCAAAGTAATAATAATTATTTTAAAATAAATAATTATTTAATAAA